AAAAGTCTAGCTCAGAATCCTCCACGTCAACACATCTTGATTTTCTACACTTCAGTAAGTTGCCCACTTCGGGTGTTTCCCCAACTGATGATTTTGATGGCGATGGCGAGTCATTCGGGATTTATTCGACACACTCCTCATCGAGCTCCACATCATCATCTTCACCTTCAAGCAGTTCGAGCTCATCCTCGTCCACGCCGTCCGCCATGGCTTCCTCCTTGCATGCAGACTCCAGCTCTTCCTTGACCTCGTCATCAATTGAAAACTCTAGCTCTGCCTCATCCAACTCGTCTTGTGCATCTTTGCTGGCTGGCGAGGAAGAGGACGGGGGTCCATAGCTGCAACGATCCACAAGAGCTACCAAAGGAGGACCTCTTGCTCAATATTCTCACTTGTGGCATTTTCAACATCATCCATCTATGTTCTGGCGACATTTAAACAAGCCAAGGGGATTGCTATTTGGGAGAAGGCAATGGATGTTGAGACGAAGGCGTTGGAAGCAACTCATACATGGGATCTTGTTCAACCACCGCCTAAGTTTTCTATTATCAAAAATAAATGGGTCTACACAATAAAGGTGAATCATGATGGCACAGTATAGCGTCATAAAGTGCAAGTAGTAGCACAAGGCCCCCTACAAGAGTATGGCATTGACTATGAAGAAACCTTTGTGCAGGTTGCTAAAATGCAGACGGTTCGAAACTTATTGGCAGTTGCTACAATGAAGAATATTGGTTACTTCTTCAGTTGGATGTGAAGAACGCATTTCTTCACGGGGATCTTAAAGAAGTGATTTACACAGAAAAACCTCGAGGTTATGCTCGTGGTGATAGCTCTATGGTTTGTTGTCTTCGACGGTCATTATATGGGTTAAAGCAAGAATTGAGGGCTTGGTTTGAGAAATTTCATGAGATGATCTTACAAACAAGCTTTCTGCAGAGCGAAAACGATCTATCACTCTTCATGTCCTCTTCAACTAGAGGTCTAACAATCTTGTTAATTTATGTTGACGACATGGTGGTAACTGGGGATGATGAAGTGGCCATTCGAGAATTGACACAGGTGTTACAGTATGCTTTTAATCTAAGGAACTGGGAGAGTTGTCTTACTTCTTGGTTCTTGTAATTCATCTGTCATCGGCTGGGTTGCATGTGGGTCAGCTCAAGTATATAGTTGATCTTCTAGAATAGGCAAGAATGGAAGAATGTACGTCGTGTGCCTCTATGGAATAAAAACTTCGGTTACGAAGTTTGAGGGTGAGTTGTTGACGAATGGTTCTGTGTATCGCAGTATAGTTGCTAGCCTAATATATCTCACCCATACGAGACCAAATATATGATATATTGTTCAAGTGTTCAGTTAGTTTATGTCGGCTCCTCGAGGTTCACAAAGGACGGTTGTACAATGCATATTACGCTATCTCTAGGGTACTCAACATGTGGCATATTCTTCTCGGCTATAAGGGATTTAGTTCTTGAAGCGTATGCATACGCTGACTGTACTGGTTGTTTAGATACTCGTCCGTCTACCTCTGGATGGTGTGTGAAGATGGGTAACTCACATATTTCATGGAGCTGCAAGCAGTGGCGGACCTCTGGATGGTGTGTGAAGATGGGTAACTCACATACACCCTCGCTCGAGAATTTTGTGAAGAACCTAAATATTTTTTGTACAAAATTTTTTACTTTGGGATAGCCGAAACACCATCAATAATTATAGCCGACACACTGTTACGATCCTAGAATCGATCAAATTCCATCCAGGATTAATCGTCAAAGAGGCCAAATCGAATTGCAAAGAAGAACCTGAAAATTGTCCGTGTCATTTTCCCTATTCAAGTAGCCGACTTTGGAGGCACGTTTCTCTCAATTGGCTCAATGGAAATTCAAGTTTAATGGCTTGAATTGAACATGGAGTGATTATCTACACATTGGTATGCTTGGTTGCTCAAGAAGAAGTCATTAAGGTTGTTTTCCAAGGCCTCAAAGTTGCTACCTCGAAACTGGAAAACTACCAGAAAATGGCTAAGGCAGAAACCTGTTTTGTGGAGCCTACTTTGGAGCTTAATTCGAGGAGTATGGATCTCATTAAAGTCCAAAGGCTTCCACAACATGAAACTAGAAATGTTTATCTACCAAGGGAAGGAATCAGATGAAAGATTGGAGTTCTGGAAGGCCTCGAACAAAAGGCGCGAAGTTAGTACGAAAGCTTCTTTTGACTATTTTGCTGGCAGCTTACTTGTGCGTCAAGAAAGAAAGTTTGTGGCCGAGTTTTACACTGTTTTTAGAGTTTGTTTTTACCTTAATTGCTTCCTAGTTACATTAGGTTTGTATTAGGTTTTCTTCGCTATAAATAGCCTTCTATTTACGTTGTAAGAATTTAGACTTTGATTAATCGAAAAACAAACCCTTTGATTTTGTGCAAGTTGCGACTTGTTTGAGTTTGGTGGATTCCAAACTTGTGAGCTTTGCATCGATTGAATATTCTCTTTAATCGTGGTCGAGCAGCTACCCTTTAATACCATACGAGCTTTCCCCAGGTGTGGAATTGTCTGTTGGTTCCGTTTTATCTCAGTTTCGTATTAAGAACGCGTTGTTCTTGATTCGAGCTTAATCAATCTTACGATTGATTGTTTGCTGCGTTACTTTGATAAAAATACACCCCCAGGGTCGTATTACACACCTTCATTATAGTCGAAGAATTTATTGTCCAAATGAATCAATCTTAATCATAATCCTTTTTAATTTTGTTTAAAATAACTCATAAATCATAATCCTATCACTTCCTATTAAAAAAAAACAGACTCTCAGCCCATACAATATATGTGTGTGATGTGTGTTGGGTCTGGGCCTATAATTAAAAGAGAAAAAAAAACACAGGCCAAATGGCCAATAGCCCAAACGGACACTCTTTATCCTTTAGTTTAATTGTTGTATAAGTTGGTGTTGACTTTACCTGTTGCAACTGCAAGCTGCGAAAGAGCATTTTAAGCTATGAAGATAATCAAGAACGATCTTCGAAATCGGTTGAGTGACCAATTTATGAATGATTGTTTAGGTGTGTATATTGAAAAAGATTTGCTTTGCAGCATAAGTGATGAATGTATTTTAGAGACATTTCAACAGATGAAAAGTCGCGGTTGGTTTACAATTTCTTTTAATTTCTACTTAATTTTTTAATTTAATTTAATTATTATTGGATTTTATCAGCGACACACCTCTCCGACAATCCTGGGTCCGCCACTGGCTGCAAGAAGCAGGATCGGGTAGCTAAGTCATCTATAGAAGTTTAATATCGGTCGATAAGTGAGGTAACTTCAGAGATAGTATGGCTTTGGCGTATGTTAGCATAGTTGGGGGCGGTGTTTCCCTATTCAGTTAGTTTGCATGCTTATAATACGAGTGCTATCCGCATTTAGGGATGGCAACAAAACCCGAACCCACGGGTACCCACCCGACCCAACCCGGTCAACGCGGGTAAAATCCGTGTTGACGGGTTTTGGGCCGGGTTTGGTTTAAACCCGTTCACTATTCATCGGGTTGGGTTGGGTTTGGGTTTAGGTAAACCCGGCCCGTGGGTACCCGCCCACTCATATAATTAATTTTTTCGGTATATTTAATATTCTAAACAACTAATCTTATTTATGTTTGTGGAGACATGTCTAATTTTTTCTTTTTAATTGTGTAGAATGAAGTTGATGTTATGGAGTGGAGAGTAAAGAAACTTAATTGAAAGGAAGAAGCTTTCAATTAAACATGTTATTTATGAATAATTTGTGATTTGCTTCAATTTTCTTGAGTTTTCTAGATTGGTGTTGAACAATTTGTATAGTTTATTTGTGATTTGCTTGAATTTTCTAGAATGGTGTTTTATATATGGATAATTTGTATTGAGAGATTGATATTTGACTTTAATTTTGATAAGAACTTGTAATTGTAAATTTTTTACGACAAAACCCGTGGGTACCCATGAACCCGCGGATACCCAACGGGTTGGGTTGGGTTTGAGTTTTTCAAACCCAGTGGGTTTTACCCCCGGGTTTTTTTCAAAGATAAACCCTTGGGTTTGGCAAAACCCGACCCAACCCGACCCATTGCCATCCCTATCCGCATTGCCACCAATCTAGTACTTCATGACAGAACTAAGCATATTAAAGTCCACGTCCATTATATCTGTCAGCTGGTTGCTGAAGGAACCATGGAACTAGCATATATTACTTCTGAAGATCAGACGACGGACCTACTCACCATGGAGGTCTGGTCTACCCGTCATTGGTTTCTGGCGCACAAATTGATGTTGCGAGAGCATCATCAATTTGAGGGAGGGTGTTAGAAGTATGGGTACTAAAGTGTAATTGTATTTAATTATGAGGTACTGGTATGAGATTTGGGAGCTAGGGTTCGGTTGGTATATATTTGTGTAGAATAGCCAAATTTTGTAAGTAAGCAAGACGTGAAATAAGAGTTGTACTGTGGACTAGTCCTAATGTGAATTGTTGAAAAAACCACGTAAATTTTGGATTTTGAACGATGATTATGTTTTGTGTGATTATTGACAGAGTACTCACCGGTGACTGGTCTGTACATTTTATTCTTCCACGAACGTCGTCATTCCTTGTCTGTAATGATTAATGAATCAACGATGGTAAGAAAAACACACAAAAAAATCTGCGAGAGGGGGAGCAGTAGGTTTGATTAGGGGGCGGGCGTCACAACCCACCCAAGCTAAGTAATAATTATAGCCCATTTAGCCATTCCCTACTCCTACTCCCCTCCCTCTCTGCTCGTCGGCTCGCCATTTTCTCTTTGTCCCCATCCCCTCCCTCTCTTTATGTGCCAACCTTTTCTTCCTCTTCCAGACCCCACTCCCCAAAGACAAACCCTCCCTCTCTATTTATGCTCACCCCAAAGCCCAAAAGCAAAAGCCAAATTGCTCTTTCAGACAAGCTCTCCACTTTTACCCAAACACACACAAAACCTCTACTGCTAATCTAAACCACCATGGGCAACCTCCGGTTCCGGTTATCGGACATGATGCCCAACGCTTGGTTCTACAAGCTCAAAGACATGAGCAGCGCCGGAGCCACTTCCCACAAGCGCGGCAACGGCAAGAAGTTACACCCGGCAACGCCTCCTCCTTCACAGCCTTCCAAACCAAAGCAACCCCACCACCACCAACAACACTCCTACTCCAGAAAGTCTTACTACTTTACCAGAGACCTTAGCTCCGGTAACCCCAACCACACTGATAACACACTCCCCAATTCCCCCTCTAAACTCTCCGATCACCCTCCTACTCCTAGAAAATCTTCGAAGCGAAGAGCCGCCGCCAAGAGAAGGTCTACTTCTTCTGCTGCTGCCAGGTCATCATCTCCGAAGCTCGTTTCCTCCTCCGTTTCCGCTGGTTGCAGCTGCCGAGCCAATTGGACTAAAACGGATTCCCCAGCGGTGGTGGCGGCCGCGGTTCCAGGGGATCGCTCTGCTTCGCTGTCTGATTCCAATTCAGACTCGTTCCCGCCGGAATTCAGGTCTGATTGTTCCCTCACTACAGAGTCGTTTGATAAGATGGTGTCATGGTCCAGCAACTCCTGCGGCTGCCCGCTGGACCTGGTTGATTCCGGCTCCAACGACATTATCATCGACATCGATAAGCGCTCTCTCGTCGACCCTGCACACCAAGTGTTTGAAAAACTGCCTGACCGACAACTCCCTCCGATTTTAACCAAGCCTTCAAGCTTCGACGACAGGATTGAGGATATCAAGAGGAAGGAGACCAGAGAAGTAGTACCCTCCGCAACGAAACAGAGGAGGACCCCGCCTTCGTCGAAGAAAATGGAAGGCTCCAAAACTCGGGCTTCCTCGCTCTCTGTCAAGGTCACAAGAGAAGAGAGCTTAACAGTGAAACAACAAGGGAGGAAGCTGAATTCCGCAAATTCCCCAGGGATAAAGCTTCGGGTCAACTCTCCGCGAATCGGGTACAGGAGAAACATTCAAGGGCAGGGCAGGAAGAGCGTCTCTTCATCAACCTCGACTTCTTCTTCTTCAAGGTCGTCTTCGAGCAAGAAGAGCCTTTCCGGGTGCTTGGCGGTGGTGAAATCATCGTTCGATCCACAGACGGATTTCAGAGAATCGATGGTGGAGATGATCGTGGAGAACAAGCTCAGCGCCTCCAAAGATTTGGAAGACTTACTGGCTTGCTACTTGTCCTTGAACTCCGATGAGTACCATGAGGTTATCATCAAAGTTTTCAAGCAAATTTGGTTCGACTATCTAACCAATGCTCGCTCCAAGTGATCAATTTTAGTGTAATAATTATTATTGCTATCATTACTATGAATTCAAAAAATTGTACATTCCCCTGTTTCAGAATCTCTCTGTTTCCTCTCCTGCCCATTAATTTCTCCAATTCTCATGAGTGTTTGAAAAGTTTTGAATTAACGAAAGTGGGTTGGACTAGACTGGACTGTCAGAAGAAGGGAAAAAACATTCTGACTTTGTTATTCAACACCAAAAGAAGATACCCTTTAAGGACAAGCTCTCTGAGATTTGTGTCTGTACTAGTTTTCCTCCATATCTGAAAGTCCGAGTCTCTGGGTAGGCTATAGATGCAGCAGCAGCTTTAGTAGTACCATGCCTCTCTTCTGGATTGGAAAAAGAGAAGAAAGAAAGCTTTAACAATTGGAGAAAAGGAGGGAAAAGGTGAAGTGAGGGGAGACAAGAGCTGTAGAGGAAGGACCAGAAATTCAAAAAATTGATACTGTGCGTAGGAAAAAAGAAAGGAGCTTTTTTTCATTGTAGAGCACCATGTATGGGGGGTTGGTATTGTACTCTGCTTGAGGGAGAAACTGTTGGGTATGCAACTTTGGGTAAAGTTTTGGCAGGGAAGATTTCAAAAAAGCTGGGGAGAAAAAGAAAGAAAAAAAAAATCTTTTGCCACTAACACGCCATTGCCATGCGCAGCAGTTGTTCATCATCTTCTTCGGTTGAAGGGACTGGAGAGGAGAGGTTGAAGGGGAAGCAAATCTCAATGCACGGATACACATACACACGAGTGTCGTTTTCCGTCTTCTTCATCCTTTTGTTTAATCACGAGTTAGTTTTCTGAACGAGCTATTACTACTAGCCAACGAAGCCAAAGAGGGTAAGAAAGAAGCAAGGAAAGATCAGTTACAGGGATTGTCTGATTGGAAAGCATCGATGTTGTCTCTTTGTGGGGCAAGGAGCTCCATGCTGGATTTGACAATATATCTACTAAATAATTGGCGATTAAGAAGGTGAAAAACACACACTAAAGTAGAAAAAAAAGAAACCCCGGATTTCAAGGTCCCTAATTTTGCGGTTCTAGCTTTCCACGTAAGCCTTCACGAGCATCTCTATTTACAAGTAAAATGTTAACAACCATTGACTTCGCTCTCATATGCAATCTTCGCCAAATTTGCAGACTTTCTAACTCTGCTGGTAGTATTACTCTACTAGATGGTACTGGTAACCACCACCATGATAATTTTTTTTTCTCCTAAATTACGTATTGTTTTCCGGCGAGGAAAACTATGGTGTTTGAACTCAATGAATACATCTTTGACTTCTTGAACCACGATTTATTACACGGTTCACACCTCTCCAAACAATGTTCGAACGAGGGTGTTTGATCATTTTGATGGCTGATAAAACTAAGTTACGTTACTCCTACTCCTATGGAGGTTCAGTGAGAGCTCCAGAAACTAAATGCTACGACTAGGGCTACATTGCAGAGAAAAAGATAGAGTTTGACATGTGTTGTCAAATGTTTGGTTGTGGAACCCTTTTTCCGTCTTTGTTTTGCCTATTTATAGCCACTAGGAGTAACTACCTTGGTAACTGCTAGCCGGCTTGTTCCTCCAACCGTCTTAGGGACCCCTTTTCGTTGCCTTGGTGGCCAATTGGTAACCGTTGTCTTGGTCTTCACCTCCATTGCCTTGGAGCTCCTTGACCCGTCTTGTTGACTGGTTGGTATTTGATGCCCTCGACGCCCAACCGAATTGGTGTTGGTCTTGTCGCCTTGCCTCCATGATGAAGTCTCGACCACACCCTTGGCAGCCCCCAAGACTCCACACTTAGTTTTATTTCCCTTTCTTGCTCCCGCTTTTGTTGTATCTCTAGCTTGATAACCCTGTCATCAAGCAAGTCATGTCGGCTCGTATTACCAAGCCTGCCTTGCCGGCTTGGTCTCCATACTTAGTTTTTGTAGCCTCGTCAAGTTGGTAAGTTGCACCCTGCCGGTTTGGTACCCCGTTAAGGTGCTACCAAGCCCGTCTTTGGACTTTGTCTCCCTATGGCCCCATAAGGGTTGAGCTCGGCATCCTGATCGATCCATCCATGGCTGTTTGGTACCTAGTTGGGTGGCCACCTCAGCTAGTCACCATTCCTTAGTCAAATTTCTCTTCTTGTTTGCTTGATACCCTAATGTCTGGCTATCAAGTCCGTTGGGTGGCAATCTCAGCTAGTCACCATTCCTTAGTCAAATTTCTCTTCTTGTTGGCTTGATACCCTGATGTCTGGCTATCAAGTCCGTTTTATCGGCTTGATAGCCCCTTGGGGTCATGGTACCCTATCGCCTTGCTTGACTCTCAAGCCTGTCATGTCGGCTTGGTACCTTGTAGGGGTCTTGGTACCGAGGCTGCCTTGCCCGCCTGGTACTCCCTTAGCTCCATACTTAGCCAAATTCTATGTCTTGGTACCAAGCCCGCCTTGCCGACATGGTACACTCTTGGCCCCATACTTAGCCAAATTCTATGTCATAGTACCAAGCCCTGCCTTGCCGGCTTGATACCCATTGTTGACCCCCTTACTTGGTACCCGGTCATTTGGCACCCCATTGTGCCGCCTTCTTTCCAGACTTAGTTTTTAGATGACCTCCTACTTGGTATCCGGCTTGGTACCCGGTCGTTTGGCACCCCGTTGTGTCGCCATGTGTCCAGACTTAGTTTTTGGGAGCCTCCTATTTGGTATCCGGCTTGGTACCCGGTCGTTTGGCACCCCGTTGTGTCGCCTTGTTTCCAGACTTAGTTTTTGGGAGCCAAATTTCATACCAAGGGTGGAGACATCGTCCGGCTATGGGTGCCACGGAGACGGGTCGACCATCGTATAGAGAAGAAGGGGTTTTGCCACTTAGGCCCAAAAACCCAACCCAACAAGGCCCAATTAGCTCTTTTAATTGTTAGTGTTGAGCTGGTCTTATAAATTCATTAAATCTCTTGTAATTAATCGATGTGGTACAAGCTGATTTTTTTATGGTTAAACAAATGACCCCACAACTTAGTGTATAATAATTATGCACTAAGTTGTTGAACTCAACTTGACCACCTAAAAATAACTCTTATCTCGTCACCACCTTCCTTAGCCAAATTTTGGTTTTGATTACAAAGCCAGGCACCCTTATGGCCTGTTCACTTGCCATTTCGTTTTCTGTTTTTTGTTTCCACAACAAAAATTAGATAACACAAGCTAAAAACCGTGCTCATTTGTCATTCTGTTTTCATTTGACAAAACCATTTGGCAAAAATGGGGCAGCTGGGAGAAAACGTTAAAATTCGGTTTTGTGGAATTAGGGACATGGGAATTGGTTTGTTTCCTTGCGGAAAACGCGTCCCTTCGTTTAATAAGATACATCGTTCGAGACCCAGCTGCTGCAAGTTCATTATTTTGTTTTTGTTCTTTTTCCCTTTGCCTTCCAACCCCCAGGCCCCAGTCAAATTCCATCCTTAAGCCCACGGATACTTGGCCTTCTCCAAAAAAACCCTAGCCACTAGCGACTACCATCCTTCTATTTTTACCAATTCATCGCTCGAAGAACAGAGTCCCAAAAAAAAACTCTGCATCAGTCGCCCGCCCTGTCGAGCCTTCCGCTGCCATCGAAGCTTCCCAGCAATAGGCCGCTCAATCAAGATTTCCCAACAGCAGCAGGCGCAACCGGAAACATATGCCTCCCTCCATCAAAGTTTCCCAGATCAGCCACCCGCCCCAGCAACAGGAATGTTGAAGGTTTCCACCAGCAGGCGCCTAAATCTGCCTCCCTTCATCAATAGTCCAATGACTAGCAATTATATGGATGTTTGTTTCCATGTCGAGGACAATGTTGAATGATTGGGTGTGCTTGTGTTAAATTTGTATTAGTTTGAATTAATTCGTTTGTTCTTAATTGGGTGTGATTGGTGAATGGTTGATTGATAATATTACTAGATTTGTATAATACTCAATTAAAAAAATTGAGGTAATAAGTACTAGAAAGACAGAAAACAAGAAAATAGAATGAAATAGCTAAACAGGTTTTCATTTTCAAAACTCAACAAAATTCTCAGCTAAACAAGTTTTTTCCAGGTTTTATTTCTCAGGAAACGACAGCTCTGTTTTCATTTCTTTTTTTTTTTTTTTGTGTGGCAATTATGAAAAACAGAATGGCAAGTGAATGACCCATTAGCCTTTCCCTTCCATGTCATGGTTGGCTACTCAAGCCATATTTTATCAAAAGAGTATCATGCCATGCCTTAGAGTGTGGGAAGTTTTGGCATGCCGACCATTCTGATTGTTAGTTAACTTTGAATCCGTTGACACCCCTTGTCCCAAAGAAAAAAGATATAAGGCTTGAGATAATTGTCATTGATCAATCGATCATGTAGCATCCATTAGATCTTTTAACAAGTAGGCCCCATTGGAATGGGTGGCATGGATGGGAAATGCTCTATGCCTGACACTAGTAAGCTACTTATGCCATGAAGGGACATGGTTTACCCACCAATCAAACGAGCATAGGAAGCTCCATAGACCCAGTCACATGGCTTGTTGTTTACCAGGCGTGGCAAGGTCCTCACATCACAAGTATTACAAAACTCTGACAACTTTTTTAGCCATGATTGGCTTGCGGTTTTCTTTTTTTATTTTCTCATTTTACTAGTATTTTTTTTAATTATATAATTATTTTAGTAAGGAATAACAGACGTCACTGATATCCATGCCCTTTGGCAACCATCCACATGCCAAAGGTGTACACCCACTGCCAAGTCCATGAATTAAACCAGAGTAGCCATCCATATATCACATGTCTACTCTCCTTAAAAAGAGATGACTCCTTATCAGTTGGCTTTGAATTTCCCAACTCAACCATGGATGATGCCCGGTCAACTTGTCTTGCCTTTGTGGCCTTGTAGGGGGTCTCATGATCCTCTATCATAGCCACCTTACTAGACATGTTGGGTTGATGTTGAACCTGATGTGCTTGCCTCATTCCAGGTGATACAGTAGGCATTCTCAACACCTTTGACCCATCAAAGGGACCAAAAGTTGTTTTCTGTATTAGTTTCCTCCAACTTGACACAAGCTTACTCTTCCCACATGGTTGAGAAGACGAGTGTTTGGGCTTAACGAGTTGATTACCACTCATGTGTCCAACTTGGCTCTGTTAAACCCTTATGCCTTGCTGATTTCTACACGTAGCAGCTAACAACCTCTGGTCCTTTGTAGGACCATATTTGGTTGTTGCATGCCAAGATGTCTTATTCATGCCCTCTTGTCCGCCATTCATGTTTGGCATGCCATGAAGGCTATTAAGCACATGCTTGCTTCTTTGTCCATCCCTTAACACACTCTCATACTTAGACAATTTTTGAGTGGCTCGGGTGGGTTCCACACTCTTAGAATTGCCCCTCACTCTTTTCTTCACATATGATGACATGCCCCCTGTCCACTGCATGGATATGGAGACATGCCCCCCATGCCATTGTTCATGGTCATTGACATGCCCCCCTTGTCACACTCAGTCACACTAGTATTTTTACTAGAAACACATGTGGACTGGGCTTGTTGTAGCTTCTTGGGCAAAATTGTCAACCCACTGCTTATAGTTGGTGACATGCTCCCTTTGCCACACTTAGACGAAACATGTGGTGTGCTCTTAGACAATACCATTTCTCCAGCATCACCTTGCCCCCCAGCCTGACATTTCAAGTT